TTGTAACATGGGTACATGGATCTTCTGACGCCGTCTATTACATATAAAAAAAAGAACACCTACCCCTTTTAAAACTGTAATCTAGAAAAAGTAATGTTTTCTATTGGCCACGTACAGCATTTGATCTCTTCAGCTGTGTAGCTTTGTAGTGAACATTTACTAATCTTTCAGATATTATTTAAAGTGCTACTACGGGCTGTCCTCTCTGCAGTGTTGGGTTAGCTATACTTGAGCTAACTCATCCTGTTACAGCAAACGGTGCTTCATTAAAAACAGAAGTTGAGCCCCCACAACATTACTAACGTGAGTGTTAGAAGCTCTCAAGCTTCAATCCACAACCCCACAGGTCAGCTAGCTTGAGTTTAAAGCACTATTTAACTGACACTAGAGATCCGTATGTGGACAGGAGTTGGATTAGGCACCATATTAGCTAACACTATACAAGTCCTATATCTTTTATAAGCTGCTGTTAAAGGAACCCTCGAAATAATGCAAAATTAATAGAACTTTAGCTTTTTTGCATCACTATTATAAAAGCTAAACAAGTTTTAGACAACTGGAAAAAATTAGGAGCCTCTACTAGTACGAAAGATAGTGTTCAGCATTTAGTGTTTAATAAATCCCATGTCTGCTATTTCACCATGTGAATTCTGAGAATTCTCAGGTTTTACAATTTTAGATTACTTTTGAATGACCAACAAACAGGTATTTATTCTGCATTTCAGCAGGTTCAAGGGAAGAAGGGATCGCTGTTGGCAGTAGTCTTACTTCAAATAGCTTTCAGTCTGGGACAAAATGCGGTCCATCTCAGCATCCTTTTTCTCATACAGTTCCTTCCCAACCCAGGGCAGAGATGACAGAAATGCAAACACATACCAGTCACATCGCACCTGCAGAGAACGAGGACCACAACAAAAACAAACAATCCTTCAATATGCAATTAAGTTCAATATTGGAATAAAAAGTCTCAAGAAACATCTAATTTTAGTTGGAAAATTCTCCTACAATCAAAGAAATAACTATTTCTTTGGAAGTGCAGCTATACTTCAGTGATCACTCGTAGAGACTTCAGAACCCAAAGATGTTTTTAGGAGCTCAGCGCTTGAAAGCAAAAATGTATTTCAGTGTGTGGGTATAAGATATATGCATGTTTATTCACATTAAGTATTGGATAAATGGAGACAAAGTGGGTAAGGGAATATTTTTGGGGGCCAATTTCTTAAAAAGAATTAGAGGATAGAAGATATTACCTCATCCACCTTGTCTCTAACATCCTCAGACTGACACTACTACCACTACACAGCATACATAAGTTGGTACGGTAAAAATATTGTGCACTGGCGATACTACTTAATGATTAGCAGGCAACTTAAAGACATAACTACAAAGGAATCTTTGTATCTTACCAGTATTTTAGGTTAGAAGCAGTAAATATTAAAATAAAATCACTTTACTTGACACTACATTTATTCTTTGGCCAGTGAATCCAACCACTGACAGAATGGTTTAAACACTGCAGGGAAAAAAAATTCCATCATCTGTTTTTAAACAGTCTCAGATTGCCATTATAAAAAAAATGCAAGTATTAACATTAAAATGTTGGTTCAAATTGAAGATGACAATTGGTTTTCAAAACAGAATTATGCTTTAAAGGAACAGTCTGTAAAAATGGTCTCTTTCTTTACAAGTTCTTCCCTGTGGGTGTGTTCAAAGCCATACCTGCCAACTTTCAGCAAGAAGAGAGCTGTACGCAATTCTTACTTCTGTAGCAATAGAATTGTTTTCTAACTTTCAATTCTTTTTGAAAAATCTGTTTAAAAGACAATGCATTGCATGGGTGTCCCGATGCCATCATCTGCAACATCTTTACACTACCGAGGAGGCAGAAGCAGCAAAACATGCTGTCTGATTCTCAGAGACCATGGTGGATTTACATGGTTGACAGTTAGAAAATAAAACATTGCGCTTGTAAACTGGGTCATAAATAATGGGAAAGTCTGAGTGACAGACAGTTTTAGAGTCACTTTTCAGATTAGTCCAGTATTTCAAAGTTTCAAAACACAAACATGGCAGAATCTCATTGAGGATTTATGTGTATGCCAAAAGTGAACGTAAAAAAAGCCATCTGAGCTGACTGACTACAGAAGGGCAGAATATTTTATTTATTTCTCTAATTGCTACTGCTTCCTTCTGGTTATATGGAATTACAGTCAGCACCTATTTGGGGAGTGTACCATTGCATGATCCCATTCTAACCTGTTGGCCACTGGTAATGTAAGTGCTTGGCTGTGAAAAATTCCTGATGGAATAGCAAGTCATCCATATAGTAAACAGTCCTTTGCTTACCTGGGGCACATCTTCCTCTTGAGTCACACTCACAAAGTTCTCAAACATGGCTACCATTGAAGGAGCAGCTATTACATGACAATTCACAAGATCAGATAGAAAACGAACCTAATAAGACAAAGAAAAGTTCTGGTATACATTTTAAGCATTTTTATTCTCTTGCAATTACTTATGCAAGAATGAAGTAGCAAGTCTGAGCCTGGCAACAAGAACTATAAACATTAATTCAGCTACTAAAACAAGCTACAAAAATGTTATTAGCACACACTTAGTAGCTCAAAGAAAGCATGAAATGCAAAAGTCTCTCCCTGAACAACACATACTTTAAGCCTTGTCCCATCAACTGTGTCAGAATATTTTCTGTCTAAACAGAATTAGGATTATTTCTTTTGGGATGAAAAATCTCTTGCACCCCTCACGTCGCCTCCTAGTCAGAGTCCTCATTTCCATAAGACAGACAGGGCAGCCACCCCAGGCTCTATGCTGTAGAGGACCCCCTGGCAGCTGCCCCAACCATCCTATGGACAGGACAATCCACCATATTGGTCTTTTCTGCGGGATTACCTGGATGGCCTGGAGCCTCCTGCACTCACAGCAGCGGGGGGAGCTGCAGAAAGTGGAGCGACTCAACCTGCTCCACTCCATCACCATCTCCCAGCCAGGTCGCTCCACCTCACTGTAGCTAGAGGAAGTGGATTATCCCACTCCGCTCTGCTTCCCCAAACAATGAAGGGCTCAAAGGAGCAGAGCAGGCTCACGCAGATCTCTCCTGCTCACCACCACTGTGAAGCAGAGACCCAGCTGGGAGAGGGTGGTGGAGTGGAACCCCTGTTGCCTGCCTTACACCCCCCCCCCAGATAATCCCCTAGGTCGTGTCACCTTGGGGAGGGGACAGAGTAGGGATGGGAAGAGGCAGAGTGGGAGTGGAGCAGGGGCAAAGCATGGGGGAAAGGCCAGGAGTCAGGCCTGAGGCAGGGGGATTGCCTCCAGTCCCACACTCCCCTAGGGATGGCCCTGCTCCTAGTACAACTATAGAATACTGTTTCCCATGGATCACAATTAGAGACACCTTAATTCTACCAGGTGTAACAGAGATAGCACATCAGGTTAAGAGGACGGGAGCATAAGAGGTGAAAAAAAATACTACTTACTAAATACACAGCTTCATTGTACAGATTGGCTTTCAAACATTCTTTGACCTGACGAATCATGGCTTCTACAAATTCCCCTCCAAAATTGTAGTTCCTGGCATTCAGCAACCCAACGAGTGTTGTGTAAACTGTGAGCTTTTCTGGTAACAGGCGTGCACTGATTTAAACGCAGAAAAGAAAAAAATATTGCATCAGATGTTAATCTGTGTGCTATGCGACCTGTTGCAGTTATAACTTCTCAGATTCTATCAGGGCAGGTTAAACTTGGCTTTTTCTTGTGCTAGAGTTAGAAATACTACACAGACCATTAATTTTTCCTTCATTTGTTTACTTTCCTCTCTAAATTGCTTCTCTAATGGCTTTAAACTACAAGCCTATATACTACTAAATTCAAGTTAAAAATATTTTCCTTTTAATACATTCCAGTAGATGAGAACTGCATGGTTTAAAACTGTCCAGTTCTAAAGCCTGCCGCAACTGTGTGTTAGTATTACATCAGCTGCAGCTTCGGTCTCACACTGAAGTTAATGTGAATTGGACAGAAGTCATTATTGAAAAGAAAAATGGCATAAGAGCCTGGAATGGCATTTACTAGAAGTTTCAAACACTTTACATAGAGGGAAGTTGAGGAGTATTTTATAAAAAGGCTTTATGCCCCACATGGCTCCTGGAAGCAGTGGCATGTCCCTTCTCTGGCTTCTATATAAACAAGCAGCAAGGAGGGTCCACACACTGTCCCCACCCCAAACACCAGCTTTGCAGCTCCCACTGGCCGAGAACTGCAGGGGTGGAACCTACAGATGGGGTGGCATACAGAGCCACCTGGCTGCACCTCTGTGCAAGAGCCATGGGGGGACACTTCCAGGAACTGATTGAGATAAACACCACCCAGAACCTGCACCTCCTAGACCCTCTAGACCCCCCTGCCCCAGCCCTAATTCCCCTCCTACTCCTCAAACCCTTTTATCCCAGCTCAGCACACCCTCCTGCACCCCAAGCCCTTCATTCTTGGCCCCACCCCAGAGTACCCAACCCCTCCCACACTCCAGCCTGTGATTTCATGAGCATTCATGACCCGCCATAAAACTTCCACACAGAGTGGCCCTTAGGCCAAAAAATTTGTCTACCCCTGTTTTGGATCATGAAAACCTGAATCTGAATTTTTGTAGTTTTAAAAAAAATAAACTACAGTAGAAATAATGATTCTCATGCTCTTTCATGTATATTTTTATATGAATATGGCTAAGCAGTTTCAGAGCCAAAGGTGAAGATTTTTATGCTCTACTAAAGTCTTTTTTGTTTTTCCTTGTGTAATTCCTTTAAATGCAGTAAAACTTCAGGAACATGTAAGAAACTTTAACACATTTTGCACTGCATATAAAAAATATAGACACAAAGAGGTTATCACATCAACTTAGCCGATTTTAAATGGAAAGCGCTTATAAAATTCAAAGGAATTGTTCCGATGATAATCTAAAGTTATCTCCTTAACTAGGTTTTGTATTCATGTGCATTTTATACCCTGAAACATGCATTACTGCCATGGGAAACAAGTTAACTTCTTGACTAAGAATCTAACATTCATTACAAAAAGTGTGGTTGTAGTAGCATCTGACCATGCATTCAACACTAATTTACTTACCCTGGAGTTTAGTTCCTCATCTTACACAAGATACAGAAAGTACAAAGTACAACACCAAGAACCAGAAGAAACCCCACTAGATGCTACGCCACCTCAGATGAAGCCCTCAACAAGTCCCTCCCTACAGATTTACACTACCAACAGTGAAAGATGGCTTGCTGTGGTGGGGAGTAGGACTGGATTATCTGCTTAGCTGCTTTTAGAACAGACTAAGTCCTTAAGACGGTGGTGTCCAACACACTAGCCACATGTGACTATTTGGTTGGTTGAGTGTGGCTAGTTGGCTATAGCGGCTACTGCTTCAGAACTGGTTGGACACCACTGCCTTAAGAGAATACAGTGTGCACAAACAGTATGCTCATTTTCACTCCAGTTATTACTGTTGTCAATTTCCTTGGGTCAGCGTACACAGCGTCAGAAATGTACAAACTGTTCACATGAACATTTTAAATATGTCATGTATATTTGAAAAACATTTAGTGTAGATAATACATCATCACCTGGATCCACAAATCTTTTGCATACATACACTGTACAAAGAATTCTTAATATCTTGCTTCTGTAGTTTGGTAGATCAGCCTCCAAGACACCAGCTAGGCCTTCCAAGTTGCTCTCCAAAGAAGAAGTACTCTAACAAAGGAGATAATTATTAGAAACCCATCACAACCAATCAAGGGATAGCCAGCCAACCCTTCAGTAACAAGACTGTTTCAATAGAAGACTATTTTGTTGTGTCCTTATTGATAAAAATAAAACCGGGTAAGAAAGCAGTTTTGCATTTTGTTTTTTAATGCAAGTGATGTTCCAAAGTTTATCTGGCTACACAAGATACGTTTAGTTTACTAAAAGTAGACAACAGGTAAGTAGTAAGACAAGGAAGTGAGCAATACCTCCTGAATTCCACACAGAAACATGGAAGGCAGTCCATTTTTAGTTCTTTATTATTACTCTCAATCCATCTACTGCAAATATATTAAGGACGACAAAAGTAATCTCTTTGAAATGTTTTTAAAAGAAAAATTGGAAAGATCCCTTAAGTATCCCTAGCTTGGGTCTGGAAACATGCAAGAGCCTACCATCCAAGTGAGATTCTGTACTGCCACACCTCTTGAAATGTAAAGATCCGGAACAGCTGTGTACTGTATTTAATTGAAACACTGCCAATTAACTGCCCACAAAAGCATTTCTAAGCTTTTTTTTTTTTAAACTATTTCAGCAGCATGGTCAGCCAGAAAAGTTAGTGAGCATATTATTTCATGAAATTCACCAGTGTTCATCATTTAACGTATCCACTGAGTAGTATCTAGTCAGAACTAGCAGCATATGACTAAAGTGTTCATAGAAAACTGGGTGAAATTAAATTTAAATTAGTATTTACAAACTCTAACCAGTCACCTCTACTTACTACTAATTTCATATCTTCTTTGGTTCTTCATGCCATTTTTTCTTCTCTATAATAGACTGCTCATTTTCCTGAGATGTCATCAATGCATTTCCTGTTTTCCCCTTCTCTCCCTGCCCACCCTCACTTTGATTCCCCTCCAGGTGCTGTCACTGAAAGGTTCCAGATTAGCCACTTGATCGTAAAATCTAATAAATACAAAGCCAACATTCTTCCATCCTTTGCTTCCAGCAGACAGTATGAGCTTTCCTTCTGTTCCCTGCAAGTCAGTCTCCTGGCTGCCCCATGGCTACAGAGAGAGGAGCGCCTCGATACCTTCCCTCCCTCACTGCCTCAATTTGGCCCTCCTCCCCAGCTTACCTTGGCTACTCAAAGCTTTGCCAAGAAGCAGAAGAATGAAGCAACCCTGTTCATATGAGCTCCATTGTTGCCTACAGGATTCTCACCAAACTGTATCATTAATACGTTGTTTACAAGTGAAAAATCTTTAAATACCCCAATCTGTACAAAACTCCAAGTTACATGTTCCCCATCACCTTTGTTCTTGTATCTTCTCCTCCACACCCTTCCATTTGTTACCAGCACTAATCATGCCTTGCCTCAAATTCAACTCTCAGCTCTTCAGGGCAGTGACTGTATTACCATATAGTTGTACAGCACAACAACAATAGGGCTCTGAACTCAGTTGTGGCCAGAGTCCTTTTAAGTTCTCTCTGCTGTCTTGGAAAGCTTAACAACAGTAGCAGAAAACTGTCTCAAGAGTAGGACAAGAGCACTGCATTTAAACTCAGGCGCTAGAGGATCATAAGAATTTTATTTTTTAAAATAAAGAAGGAAAACATCACTTCTGCAGAAGCTAATGAAATTCCAATTGGGGAACTATTTCAATGATCCTGCAAGAGAATTCACTGGACTCTTTCAATAAGACACTAACTCAGCAGTGCACAAAGCATAGACAGTGATCAAATTAAAACTTTATAAGCTTGACACTAAGTTTAACATGTTAGTATCCTACAGAGATTATTGTCTAGCCCATATAATATCTTACTTAAAACTGTGTGCATGTTATAAGTGTATCTACCCTGCTATTCATCAGAAGTCCAAGATCCGTTTAGACAGGAGACTGTCCCCAGCCATCATGTTACTTCAAACACTCACTCACTCCTCAGCATAGCTGGCCCACCACCAGAGTTCACTGGGCAAGAGCTGGTAAACCGGTAAGCATATTGTTAAACCTCATGCTTATTGGTATGCTTACCAGATAACCATTTAATATCTCTAGCCTCTAGCACCCTGTGATACTTGGGGTGTTATGCTGCACTTCAGTAGATCCCTGAACACATGCACCAGACCACCCATGAGCAAAAAGTTGCCAGACAAGAGCCAGTTGGGGACTGCTCCATGCGCCCCACATACCTTCTGGCTGTAAGCGCAGAAGCCTGCACAAGATAAGTGACGAACTTACATCTAATATCTGAATGCATGACCTATGGTTCTACACCAATTTCAATTCATGGATTAGATAGAACTCTCTCAGAAGACGCCTACCTCCAAGGATTCAACCAATAGGCCACTTCTCATAAGAAATTGCTTCTCATACCTTCTCTCCCACTCTGCATATTAAAGATTCCAATCTTTCTTCAATTTCAGATGGCTCAGATGTTCTCCTTCTTTTGTGAGGTTGTCCTCCTGTTTCAATACAGTAATAAAACCAAGAATGCCAGTTAGTAACTCAACAGCTTTAAAAATGTTTTTGAACAATTCTGTCAGCCTCAGCCCATGTGCCAGTTCTGTACAATAATAAAAAGGACCAAAAAGATACTCAAGTGTTTATTTTAAACAGACCCAACAAAACATGAAAAACAAAGCTAAGAGTAATTAAAACATACTCAGTTTCTGTAGCCTTGTACTCTCTAGGATTTTGTTCACCGCTAATCAAATCCTTTTTACTTTCTTATTTGAAAGATGTTTTTGGAAGTGCATTTCTGCTAAAGTAGCAAGATACTACGTGCGTACCACTGATAATGCAAGTTACACACACATTATAGAATTAGTAGTACTTAGGTACAGCTCATCTGAAGTAGCACATGGGATTATCTGGCACCAAAGATAACATGAGAAAATGCCTGAGCAAGGAGGTTCAGGTAGCCTTTTACTCACAGGTTGAATCTCTCTAGTCCAGCAATATCCGTAGTCCGGCATGATTTTAGTTAGCTGTGGCAGTGTTGGTAATTCTGCTAGACAATACTGACCTCTTGTGATTCAGCAAATTCTCTGGTTCAGCACCAGTCAGGTCCCAAGAGTGCTGGACTAGAGAGATTCAACCTGTAAAGATTTTGTATTTTGGAAAAAAGACTAGGCAAACAAGCGATAAAGACCTTTTAAGAGCAGATGTAGTTGAATTCTAAATGACTGAATTTATCTTTGAAGGTCAGAGCTGAAAATGTTGGCCGTAAAAGAGTAGATTTTCTATCTTAGAATTGCATCAAATGAACTATATATACCCTCAAAGGTGCATCTCTTATATACATATATGTTATCATACTGTCATCACCAAGGCACTAAGTGACATGACTGACAGCTATCACATGTGGTTCATTTTTTCACCATCTCCCAGAGGAAAAGCTGTACATGAATTATCCTTTGTTTTAGTAAAGCTGCACCCTGCTGTACAGATGGTGGAGAAGGCAAGGTGGAAACAGTGCCCCTTGAAGCTGATGCAAAGGTGGTGAAGTTTGTGTTGGTGCTTTGTTCCCTAGGGAGTTTGGTGACCAGCCTGGAACTGGCCATTGAGAAAGCCTGCCACCTGCAGAGATGAACTTTCCCTTATGATAGTACATTCTATTGTGTTAAGGGAGTGAAGCTGTCGACTAGTCCTCATGTCAGAATTTTAGCTGATCTTTTAGATATGTCGGGCACAGATCATTAAGCACCTTCAAGATAAAAATGGAGACCTTGATGTAATACTCTCTAAAAAGTCAATGTAGAGTTCAGAACAATTCAGCGTGCTCCCAGTAGCCTTTGTTGCAGTGGTCTGCATTAGGCAGATTGATGGTTTTATGTCCAGCTATATCACATCAGTATTGGTGTGCTAGCAAGGAACCCAAGAGCATTGCTGATCTGCAGACTGACGTGATCAGTTGAGGACTTTTAACAAAAGCTGACTGCCCTGGGACTGCAAATTCCCCAACTTGACTGCTCTCATAAGTCTTGCCTGAGTTCAGCTTCAGAAAGCTGTTCACATATCAGCTGATGTCAAAGCACTGGGCTACCTTGGTGATAGTAGCATGGCTCTACCTGTTCTTCACTGCATACAGCTGACTCATCTGGTACTTGAATCCAGGCATCTCACAGGTTTGCCTAGTAGCTGCATGTAGAACAGAAGTGGGAGCAAACCCCTGCAGCTTGGGAAGCCTTCCTAAATGCGCGTTCCTTGTCAGTGAAGGGTAACACCAGGTCTTCACAGAGCTGGTCTGGGCTGCAGGCATACAGCACTAAAGGGGTATAATCAAAGAATACTAGGACTGGAAGGGACCTCAAGAAGTCATTGAGTCCAGTCCCCTGCCAAGACCAAATACTGTCTAGACCATCCCTGATAGACATTTATCTAACCTACTTTACATATCTCCAGAGATGGGGATTCCACAACCTCCCTGGGCAATTTATTCCAGTGTTTAACCACCCTGACAGTTAGGAACTTTTTCCTAATGTCCAACCTAAACCTCCCTTGCTGCAGTTTAAGCCCATTGCTTCTTGTTCTATCCTCTGAGACCAAGATGAACAAGTTCTCTCTCTCCTCCTTGTGACACCCTTTTAGACACCTGAAAACTGCTCTCATGTCCCCCCTCAGTCTTCTCTTTTCTAAACTAAACAAGCCCAGTTCTTTCAGCCTTCCCTCATAGCTCATGTTCTCTGGACCTTTCATCATTCTCGTTGCTCTTCTCTGCACCCTCTCCCATTTCTCCACATCTTTCTTGAAATGCGGTGCCCAGACCCCGGCACGTAACCAGCCCGAGGAGGCTCTGAAGACACAGAATCCTAGAATCCCAGAGCGGGCAGAGACCTCAGAAGGTCACGTCCAGCCCCCTGCCCAGGGCAGGACCAGCCCAACTCAATCAGCCCGGCCAGGGCTTTGTGCAGCTGGGACCGAAACACCCCTAGGGATGGAGACTCCACCCCCTCCCTAGGGAACCCAGCCCAGCACTTCCCCACCCATCTAGGGAAATGGTTTTTCCCAATATCCAACCTAGACACACCCCCCCCCCCCCCCGCCAGCTCCGTTCCAGGTGTCACAGGGCGAGAGGTCGGAATGTCGCTCCCAGCCTGGGACGTCCCCCGGGGCCACCCTACGCCTGGGTGCAGGCAGGGAGCGGCTTGCGGGGAAG